GGGAGTGAGTAACATATTAAAAAAAAAATCTATTTTTAACAAAATTTTCTAAAAGAGAAACTTTTCTAAAATAATTTCAGTCATTTTTTACTAAGTCCTGAAAGTTTCATTAAAATCTGACAATTATTTCATTTTTGCAAGAACTTCCAAGTCAATGCATTTTTCATCACAAAATGTGATCTGATTTTACTGAAGGCATGTGCAACACCAACCACACTTTTTGGATAAGCCGAATCCAAAGAACACATGGTGTGCTATAAGGTCTCCAAATGACCCCACTCAGGTTTTGAATTAAGAATTGTCCTTCTCCTACACTGGTTGCAACCCAAGGCTATAGGACCCAATCTGTCCTGCTACTTACTGATAGCTTCAGGTTAGAGAGACGAGATGGATTCATACCTTTGCCCAAGGGTATTTTTACATTAATGAATTTAATGGATTTGACAGTATTCCTGATTCCTCACTCTGAGCCACTATCCATTACTCACCTGTACCTTATATATATATATATATATATATATATATATAATAAAAATATTGTTTTAAGGTATGCTATATTTATGGGTAAAAGTGTTCAATATCAGGGATAGAGCTTGTGCAAATATAACAGGGTCCACAGAAGTTGACACCAAAGTGGCACCAATCTGTTTCATGTTTGAATGAAATCACTAGGCCTGGAGATTGTGTTCAAACATGAAACAGACTATCACCACATGGTGTTGAGTGTGTCCACATACAGTATATAATCAACAAATGAATAAAATTCACTCCTTGTTAGGGTCGGATAAATCTAATGGATTCCTTATAGATGTATATGAATTCAAAAGATTTATCTGGCTCTTATAAAACTCAAAGTAAGTCGCAAGATAAATTCTTTCAGTTTTTCTTTATTTGTTGACTATCACTGCTCTCGTTTTCTTATTGAGCACTTTCTTCAAAAAATATTTGCTCACTTTTACCGTGTTAAATTCTACTTATTTTACATGTGCTGTTAGTCATTATGTTATTATATATATATCAGAAAATATAGTTTTAAGGTATACTATATTTATGGGTTAAAGTGCTCAATATTAGGGATAGAGCATATATAAATATAAAAGTAGACAACACCCAGAGGCAACAGTCTGTTTCATGCTAAAATCAATTATCAGGCCATCTCACTAATTATGCTTGCTGGATGAACTCCCACAACATCATAACAAAAATAAAAATGGCCTGACAATTATGTTTAGTATAAAACAGACTGTTATCTCTGGGTGTTGACTTCAGTGTCCACATATATACAGAGAGAGAAAGATGTGGAGATGTATATGAGGTATGCTCTGTATGTAAGGCCTCCAGTTTTATTATATATATTTTATTAGATTGCCCGACATGTTGATGTTATGGCAGCAGTTGAACCTTGCAAATAATAACTCATGTTTTTCTTTTCTTTGCTATACATAATACTGAGCACCAATCTGGCAAAACAAAGTCTGACATGAAAATGCATTAAAAGCAGAGGTGTCATTGAATTCCTACCATGAAGAAAAATGAACTCAATAAAATGTCATTGATGCTTTCTTAACCAGGGACCAAACAGTAGATATGGCCACAGTCAAGCATTGGATAATTAAATTCAGAAGTGGTGATAACAGTGCATGTGACTACCATTGAGCCAACACTGAGCTGGTATAGAGTTTGTCGAGGACAGAATGCAAGTGTCTTGTTCATTGCTGAATTATAGTCAGTGATGGTAACAATGTGAAAAAATACTGTTTCGTAGCTGAAAACTCATTCTATATTTGGCTTTCCATGGAAATAAATAAGAAGCTTTATTTTCAGAACATTCCACACACACACACACACACACACACAAATATGTATATACACAATGAAGCAGAGAGGTAAATTTATTTTTACTAACAAAATAGAATCAAAGAATTTTTTTATGTTTTTCACCTTAGCACAAAATTTTTCTTGTCTCTTCTAGTTTTAAATTCTAAAACATCTGTCTTTTCGCATCTCTGTGTTGAAGGTCATCATAAAAAGTATTTTTCCATCTCACTAATGATGCCTGCTGGATGAACTCCCGCAACATCACACCAAAAATAAAAAAAAATAAGAAATACTTTTAAGCCACTTGGCTTTCCATTGAATGATTAACCAGATACACTGATTCTTGTCAAGGTTAACAAGAGGTGAAACAACTTTTTTAAAATCTTTTTTAATAGTTATTTCTTAACCAGGTAAGAAGCAAATTAACAAGATTATCAGTCTTTAATGAACAGATATCTAAAACCCTGACTACTTAATCTCCTTATCATAAAATTTTTATTTTGGAGACTGGTTAGCCATCAGAAATTATTCACATGATTGATCCTTCAAAAGGTATCTATTTGGTAGATCCTCAAATGGGTACTGATAACATATTTTGGTGCTTTTTTTTAATCATTTCACCCCAAGCAAGGAAATAAAGAAACTAAGACACAAGGGGTTACTGAATGTTAGAGAATATTAGAAAAAAACTACTATTAAAGAGAGAAGACAATACCTTTGATGAAACATATATCATGCAGCTAAGGAAAGGATCATTCATATTGATGATCCCAACTATGGTTGATTCCTGTAAAGTTTAATTAATCTGATTTGAAATAAATATTACTTTAAGTTTAAAATATCACAGAAATGCATTTTTTAGCACAGTGGTAGATGTTTATTTTAGGTGTCAACAGCTTGAATGACAGACAGAAGTTTATTTAATGTTTGTCTGCAGTGGATATATCTGTAAAATTTATTTATAACGTGAGCAGTGTTTTTTATACAATTTTTAATTATCCAGTAATCTTAAAAATTTACGAAAATATTCTCCAGAACCTAATTTTTTTATTGAATTTTAGGTACTTTGGCTTTAAATTTACTATAGTTATCGCTCTTATGTTCTCATAATGTTGTCTATGGACATTGATATTTACAAAAATTGCTACGTTTATACACATAAAACAAATTTCAAAATTCTTGATAAAATATTGGGCGTCAATAAATTGTACGAAGCTTTTCCATTTATGATTAGTAAATATAGGTTTTACTTAATTATGGTATCACCTAAAAGGAACAAAGTAATACAGATATTTAAAAGGTTTAAAACTTTATAAATTATTCTAATTAATTTTTTAAAAATGAAAACAAGTCTTGTAAAAATTAATTATTCATCGAAACCTTTTTTCTTAAGTGTCCATGATATATCTTCTTATTCATAAAAGCAATTAAAACCTTTTCTAATTAAATAATGTCTTAGTTTTATTACTTTTATTGCATATTTTATTTTACAATTCAGTGCAGATTTTCTGTGACTGAAAGACCTGTTTTACAAAAAATTGATGATTTATATTCTCAAGGAGAATATAAATGCTTTTAACTAATATAAACATTAAGAAGGACAAAATTTAATTTCTCGAAATTTCATGAAATGAAATAAGTGGTGCTTAACATGTTTAAAAGTGTTATGTTTACCAAGATTTTTTAAAGAAAACATTTTTAAAATAATTTAATAATTCATTTGTGAATAAGTCCTGATTTCATTAAAATCTGACAATTATTTGATTTTTGTAAGAATTTCCAAATCACTAGAAAGACACTAAAATTTCCTATACTAATCCTTTGGCCCCAGTGATTGACACACACAAAAAAGAGATTTTTAACCAAGATTTAAAACGTTCTAAAAAGGATAAAAAAAATATAATTTAATAATAAAAAAAAAAAAACCTTTGGTTTTTCCTCTTAATTAACATAAAGATTTTGATGATAAAACTTTGTTTTTATTAAATTTAGAGTTTTCTTTTCTTTTCTTTTTTTCATTATGATATACTAATTTTTTAGCGAATCAGTGTACTTACAAGAAAGATTTATTTCTGTCGGGAACTTCACGCACGAGTTTATTGGTCCCCTCTGTTTGCTATAGAAATTCATTGTAACAATGTAAAAATTGATCCAACCGCTAACAATGCTGCGGTCAAAAAATTTGATATATTTCACAATTAGGAAGTCGTAAGTATAAAGATCCAACTTGATGTGAAGAAAGGCCCAAGAAGGATTTTTTTTTAAAAGTTTGCGCTAAAAATGTAAACAAACATCGGAGTTTATATACAAACTGATATTATGCCAAATTAAGAGCTTAAATAAAGTTTTTATTTTGCAGTAAAACTTTCTTGTGCATAAGTGTATAAGATTGGCTATTATTACTGTCTTAATTTTGTCATTAAAAATTGAATTCAAATTTTCTTGAATTTTCATTGTTAATTTGTTCTTTTTAGAATGAGACGTTTTTATGAGACTGGAATTTGTTCTACTTTTGGCATAATAGGCTGGGATTTTTTACGGTTACCATTTAATTTCACTGCTTAAAATTAAAAGAATGAAACAACAAAAGTAAAACAAAAACCTAACAGTGATCACAACTCAAAAACGTGTACCCACAAAAAATAACTTTTCAAGAACTAATAATGTCAAATACAAAATCCTTTCAAAAATGATACCATAGTTCCCCCCTTACAAGCATAAACAAAGTTCTGACTTTCTGCTCACCTCCACACACATGAATAATTTTACATGAGTATTATTCGTCAGTATAGGATTTTGACGGGAAATATGCACGCATTATCGGAAATAGGTGTACGTTGATATAAGAAGGGGCAACGTACGTGTAGGTGCGTGACTGCTCGCATGCATGTCTTTTCTTTCGATGGAGCTTCCAAAAAAAAGAAGAAAGCTAAGGAAATAGAAAAGATGCAGTACACAGGACATCCTAACCCGATACATCCTCCTACACATCGTGGATGCGCGCACGTAGGACGAAACCTTTTAAACGTATTTTCATACTGAAATAAATGTGACTGATGGCTCCTTAACACATTTTTGCACGTTATGATCACAGAAAAGAAAAAAAAAAAAAAAAAAGGACAGGAAGAAAAAAAAATGAAATATATGGCACTGTCTTTGACGCCAGTTGAATGGCGTGTTAGATGGGCAGTTTGTTTTGCAGACTCGGTGGTGTCCAGACTTTTCTTTTTTCTCACTCTATAAACAGCTGGATGGCTGCTACTAACACGCCACGCCACTGCTGCCAAAATCTAATAATATGTTGGGTGGGGATTATACCCGATGATAACAAGTACGTTTCAATGAAGATTAAAGAAAGATAATATAATGCATTTCCCTCTCTTTAGTTTTGTATCTCGCAATTTCTCTATTTCTTCACATATTCTTTTCTAGCTTTTGTCTCCCTCTCTCTCTCTCTCTCTCTCTTTTTTGGCTCTTTTTTTTCCTGATTTCTTACTCTCTTATTTTTTGCTTTGCTTTCTTCTGTTTTTTTTTTTTATCTTGTTCTGTGTCTTTTTTTGCCTTGCTCTTTTCTCGCATTTGTCTTCCTCTTTGTTTTTATCTCTTTTTGTCGTTCTCTTTTTATTCGTTTTATTTTTTTTTGTCTCTTTTTTTCTCTTGATCTCTTCTCACTTTTTATCTTCTATCTCTTTTTTGTCTTACTCTTCTCTCTTTTTTGTCTTTTCGTTTTTCTCTTTCTTTTTTTTTTCTCTTTCTTTTTTTATTCTGTTCTCTTTTTTTTTTCGTCTTGTTCTCTTCTCACTTTTGCTTCTTTTTTTTCTCCTACACTCTTTTCTGGATCTCCTTTTCTTTCTTTCTTCTCTCTTTTCTCTTTTTTTTCCTGTCCCCCCCTCTCTCTCTTGCTTTGCTCTTTTGTCTCTCTTTTAAATCATGCTCTTTTTACTTTCATTTCGTTCTCTTTTTCTCTTGCTCTCCCAATCTCTCCCTCCCTCTCCCACTCTCTCTTTTTTAAGTCTCTCTTTTTTGTACCCATTTCCTCTACTTCCTTTACTATTTCTCTTTAGTTATTTATGACTTTATCTTTCAAGTCTTGATATTTTAAATATTTTCTAAGTGTAGCTTAGTCTGGCTACAAGTGTAGAGCGTTCAGTTAAGGTATACTAAAATCGTACTGATTGCTAACCACTTACACTTTGATGAGGTATTCTGTTCTCTAAACTTTTTTCTTTTCAACATAACTCAGTCATATACAATATGAAACAGCAAAAAGTAAACTTTCCCAAATAAGATGGACACCTGTCAGTCTGTAGACAGGTGAATTGGATATGACAGTTTATTTATTAAATAGGAAAAACAGTTTTCTTACCTTTTGTCAGGTTTGTAAACCGACCAAATGACTTTACTTCCATTTTTGGTAAAAAAATTTATCCAAACTCGAGTCATGTTCAAAGTAAGGATATATCTCAATGAGATTATTATCTTTGCTGAGAATTGGTTTAACCGGGCGTTTTGATGTCAAAATCATTCATAAAAGCATTAAAATCCCAGAAGCCCAGGTCTTTTCTTCCTAGGAATTGGTAATTTGAAGACAAAACAATGGAAACGATCCCTGAACACTTCAAATATAGCTGATTTGGCTATGTCTCCAGTTCTTGATGATTTTACATTATTTACAGAGAAAATTTTTGCTATTACAAAAAAGAACTTTCAGATCACAAAGCTACTGAAGTTAATATTTCCTATGACCGAAAGAGGTTTTAATTCTTTATAATCCGTCAAGGGTACTTGTAAGTTTTTTTTTTCATTATTATTATTGTCTGTAATGTTTGTAGCTTATTGCTGTATTTTTCTGTTGCTGGCGACGTCAGTTGGCGGTGTTGTGGGGATTACCTCCACTTGATCTGCCAAGACGCCGCTACGTGGCGCCGTTTAAGGACTATAAAAGAAGGGTTATAATCTTCTTCTTTCTCTCTTTCCTTTTTTTCAATCTTTTCAGTCATGTTACCAACGTGCGGACATCTTTTTCTCGAGTGACTGACGACTGAATTTCTACAAAATTGAACCACAAAAAAAAATAAATAAAATAAAATAAATAAACGAAGTGATAAATAGTGATTAACATTTTTGTTGCAAATTCTCAATAACAAAATAGAAATGTATAATTTCACTTTCATCATATGTTTAGGTTTTATTACAATTCTAATCATCGCTTTTTAAGACAATAAACATTGTCGAGTCGTGAAAGTAGTTAAACTAATAGCAGTGTCAACGGGAAAGCAGTCCTTTTCACTTCACTGTTTTTTTTTTTTTTTTGTTTGTTTTCTGTTTTGTTTTTTTGCGGACACGAAGAACCAAGTTTGCTTATTAGTTATTTAAGAGTACATATAATTATCTCCACTTTGAGATTTATTCATTTTTTTCCTTGTATCTCTACAAATGATGACAACCTGACATTTACATGCGAAAACTTTGATTGCCACTGATTTTACTCAAGCCAGAATCATTATGTGCAACAGTGTCTTTGTTCTGACAATAACGAACGACTCCAAAATATTAGAAGACGTTCGACTCCATGAGAAAGCAGAATATATCAATAAGAATTATAAGAATATATGTAAAGACTCACATGTGAAAACCTAATAATAATAATAATAAAAAGAAGACGGTTATAACAAAATATGCCATTATTTTTTAATGCATGTCTAAACTAGTATTAATATATGGATCACGGTGGACATAAAATGAGAGTTGCTTTTTTTTTTTCTATTTATCTGTTAATGTTTCTGAGATGTGGTATTGTAATTATTTACACTATTTACATTGTTCGGGCTGTTGTCTTCCTCGTTGTTGTTACATTCCCGACGTTTCGGCTGTTGTACGCTCTGGCTTTTTTCAGCTAATTGGAATTTCCAACCGAACCCTTTATTTCGTCCACCGGGGTAGATTGTTCTAGTTCCACGTGCCGTACCTCTTCTGGATGTCTCAGTTATCTCCACTTACCTCAACTCTCCAAGTGTTTGTTCACCGCTGAACATGGCCCAGTGGATGGAAGCGTTGGTTGGATCCCAGTGACTTAACCCAAAACGGTTGTCAGTTCAATACATGGTTCTCCCCAGTTTCCATTGATTTTAAGTCTGTACTACCCGGCCCAGGGATTGAACTAACAATTACCATGTCACCGAATTCATGAACCAGCGATTTAATCGACTAGGCCATTATATAATCGGATTCTAACAATATATTTTGTCATTTTTGTTGATATACTCAAATCTGGTTGCAAATTTTCTAGATTAGACTAATTACCCATTTTTTTTTATTCTACCGAAAATAAGTACAAATATTTTCTTATTTACATTACAATGTTTCAGCAGTTGTGCTCTCTGGACTTCTTCAAGTGTCTGTTGATCCGGGTATCGTAAGGGAAATTCGCACTGAACACTTTACTTAATCTAAGAGGGTAGATTGTTTTAGGAGACAGCGACCAAAAGGATTAAAGCGATATTTGCTGACCTAGTAATTATGGGTGCAATCCCTAAACCGGGTAGAGTACGGATATACACAGATTCAGTGGAAACATGACTAACAATAACCGAACAATCAATCTAAACGAGATATTCCGAGACATGGACAACGGCGTGAGAGAAAAAAAATCAAGCCCTGTAGATTGAATAAAAGGTTCAGTGCGAAATTCCTTGAAGATTACTTGGATTCATGGACACCAGAAGAAGGCCGGAGAGCACACCAGCTGAAACGTTGTTATGTAAATAAAATATCTGCACTTATTTTCAGTCTATATAAGTGGACACATGATGCTCATTGATTATATTATAAGCCGAAATACATTATATAATAGGCAGATGTATAACGTATAAATGCCTCATTATATGATAGGCGAATTTATAATTTATAAATACTTCATGATATGATAGGCAGATGTATAATGATGTATGTCATGAGCTTCTCTCCTTGTCACGTAGATATATTTTTTGAAATGATGGAATTATAATTTAGGATTATTGGAATTAGAATTCTCACATATGAAATGGAACAACGATAGAATCGTGGTGATAATGGTAACAAAAATAATGATATTAATATTAAACATTTTGTTTTTTTTTCTACTTTCTCAAAATCCTCATTCAATATATATATATTTTTTTTTTTGGCAAAATTCTATCTTGTTGTTATCGCAGCGTTTCTGACATTCATCAGATGTATATCGATCTAGATAATCTACAGGAAATTCTGAGCTGAACCCTATATTTAATCTATGCGGGTAGACAGTTCTCGATATGAATAAGAACTAGATGAGATATCCCTACACATGGACTGTAGAACGAGAACATTCTACCCTCGTTGATTAAACAACTTAGAATCATAAAGACATAGTTGAAATTTCAGAGGCACATACTGAAGAAGGAGGGCTTGGAGAATTTGACACTGACAGGACATATAGAAGACAAAAGAGACAGATGAAAAGAGGCAATAATGAACATAATCAGCATGTGTAAATGATGGCTGAATAGGGAAGAGGAGGGATAGTAAAAAGACAATTGACTGATATGTTTGTTTAACGGCATATCAACTAGTTATGGGTCATTTAATGCTGAAATTTACTTTTCTTGAAAGATTTGACGTAATTTGATAATTTTACTATATTGTTGGTCTTTTTATATAAAAATGTATTGCTGATATGTTTATGGCACTTATAAAACAACACAGATACTCAAATGTCTTTCTTTTCGATTAAAATAATACTAAAAGATACCAAAAGAGTATTAAAATGAACTAAAATAGCACTGAAATAGCACTAAAGGAGTACTAAAATAGACTAAAATAATGCTAAAATAGATTAAGAGACCAAAATATTATTAAAAGACACTAAAATAGTGTTAAAAGATATTAGGAGTATTAAAATGGACTAAAATAGTACTGAAATGAACTAAAAACGACAAAAAAGTACTAAATTGGTACTAAAAGAGTGCTAAAATGGATTATATAAACTGAAATAGCATTAAAATAGTACCAAAATAGACTAAAATAGTACTAAAATACTACCGTTGCAGAATACAGAATTATAATACTTTTTGATCTAAATGCTTTATTTTCCTTCCATTTTTTTCTTGAACGTTTTTCAAAGTCGTTCTTTAATTTCTTTTTTTGTTCAACATTTTCCTTTTTCTTTCTCGTTATTCCCTAACTTTTCACAACATTTGTTCACTAAGCTTAGTTTAGTTTGGCAGAAGGCCAGATAAATGGGGGTACCGAGTGAGGAATGACTTCAATTAGTTTAACGAACTAGCCAGCAGATAAGCATCGCTCTACTTTTTCATTTAGAGTCAAAAATCGAATCGAAAAACAAACACAATTGTCGAAGTCCATCCTGTTCTTCGCTGTCGTGGGAGTTGTCATTGAATTAAACTTCTTAAGTGAGGACCAAAATTACTTGCCGAACGAACGAAGCAAAGACCAGATCCGAACGCCACAATTAAGCAAATTGAGTCACATCAAATGATACTGTATATACATCAGAAAAAAAAGTATCAAACCAACGACAGTGACGCTTACATTTTACGTGTCTAGAGAAAAATAATATACTCTCAAAGAAGAGAACAGGCACCAGCGTTTAATTTTTGCCTTCGGACATGATGACCGTAGTCTTTGATCTTTTCTTACTGAGGGGACTGGTCAATGTCCAGATGTGTTCTTTTGCATTCCAAGAATTGATCTTATGGGGTTGTGTCCCTTAAACATAAGCCTAAATCGCTATTAACCCCCATCTGTTTTTCTGTCCACTACAGTCAGCTGAACCTGAGGCAGTTACCTAACCTTCAGCCGCCCACCCATATATAACCCACCGCCTGGAATATCACTTGCCTGCTTGATCCTCTCCTGTAACTTTAACCCCCCCAAACCCCTATTGCATC